TATCTTTTAAAATATACAACCTTAGGTTAAATTACTAAACCAAAATATGTCAATTCATAAGACATAAGAAAAACAAAAGTTATCTGAGGTAAACTTCAATTTGGATAATCAGATTCTATATAAATCATGTAAATATTTCAAAATAAATCATTGACATCTGTTTTTCCATTGGATTCTTTAATTATTTATAGCATGTTTTAAAAAAATCCAGTAGAACTGTCTCAGCTGAATGCTTGATTTAACTGAGCTGCCTTTCTTCCATTAAGTTGATCAGCTATTGATTTGTTCTTTTAGTATTTAGTAGCCTTAGTTTTTCTTTTTTATAAATGGGAAAACAGTAATTATTAGTGGATTATAGCTTTTCTTAAAGTATACTCATATTGTTTGGAACATAACGGATTTTGTGGCTAGGTTTGCCTTGTATTTATTATTTTTTTATTTTAAAACTAATACCGTGAAATTAATGTTTTGGTATGAGTTCAGCTTCATGAATTTTAACATATGTATAGATTTGTGCAAAGTCCAAGAACTAAATTGAGGGGACAAGAACCTACTATTGATTTCTTGGCCTTAACAGAACAGAATAATAATTTTAAAATAAGATAAAATGCTTATATCAGTTGGAAATGAATGTGTGATGTATGTGTATCTACAACTGATAGCATTTTGTCATGAGTATCAAGATATATATTTTTAGCTTTGTGATAAAATCTGGTTACTGGGCTCTGAGAAAGAGATGAAGTGGCGATGTAAAGGAGCACTGAAGGCCTTTTACATTTCTGTGAAAGATAATTACAACAAACATTTTGCCTCAACCTGTGTCCTGCAAAGTCTGAAAATGTTAATGCTTTCCAGTTTGAAAGTACATTTCCTGTTATGGTTAAACTATAGATCAAATATAAATTAAAATCTCTTTATATAACCTCATTCTTTCCATTGGGGACACATGGAATCAGTATTTTTCCTTGCTGTTAATGAAAATTTATCATTAACTTGTGAGTAAACATAGGTACTGGTGATTCATTTAATGCTATTATAAATGGTGTTGTTGATGTGAAGGTTGAAGTATATTTGTATCTTACTGTGTTGGTTTACATGACTTCACATGTGTTGAAAGTGAATGTGGAATAGATTTTTTAAGGGCACAACACTGTTTTTTTTTACCATTCTGTGTAGGACTCACTAAAGGTACTCATATAGAAAGATGGGGTTATTTCACCATTTATCTGTTCGACTATAAGTAATAACATAGTAGGCACTTAGCAAGAAAATAGAGAAGTAAAGATAAACAAGGTGTATATATCCATGGGATAGGAAGGTATGTTGCATAATTGCAAGCTGGGAAAATGAGTGTGAACAAAATCTGACATTAATTGAAGAGCTGTCTCAAAGGCTATTCCTTTAAAAAGCTAATCCTAGATATGGTTCAAAGCCACACTCAGGAAGGAAGGTCTATGGGACTCTTATCTCCAGTTAATCACAGAAAAAGCCAGAAGTAGAGCTGTGGCCCAAGCAGTAGAGCGCTAGCTTTGAGCAAAAGAAGCTCAAAGATAGTCCACAAACCCTGAGTTCAAGCCTCAGGACATGCACATGCATGCATGTACACACAGACACAAACACACACACATACACATACATACACATCAACTTAATGTTGGTGCAATAGGGATGAACCTTGAAAACATGCTATTAAGTAAAATAAGCCAGACAGAAAGAAACAAATACTGTATGATTTCTCACTGATTAGGTGCCTGAATCAAACTCATAGAAGGAATGTAGAATGTAGGCTACAGGGCCGTGGGGGTGGGGGGGGAGGGGAAGGGGGGAAGGAAGGAATGGAAAGTTGATGTTTAATGTGTTGAAGTTTGAGTTTGGGAAGTTGCAGACATTCTGAAGGTAGATTGTAGACGACGGTTGACTGTTTAATGTCTCTGAGATCTGTACCTGATTTTGTTATATATTTTTATTGCAAAAAACAGAAAATAATAGGAACAAAACCCCTAACATATTGCCATTTTGTCCCTCATTCTTCTGATTTTAAGAGAAACATTTTAAAGAAAGTTTTATGAAATTTACCCATATTCTTTTCTCTACTACAATTTCACTATAAAGAGAAATTAGCTAATTCTAGTAAAATTTTGCAGTTAGACTGTTTGTGTGGAAGTTCCCATGTACGTGGAAGGCTTGCTTCTTAAATTTTTTTTCCTATTATAAAAGTAATAAATATTTCCCTCAAAAATTAGGGTGACAGAAGAAAAATAGAGTAAAAGTAATCATTGCTCCAAACAATTCCTATGGAAAAAATTCACTACTATCATCTTGAAACAAGCAAATGCTATCTGATATCTAGTATGGTTAGAAAAGTAATGAACGGAATTTTAGAAATCTAAAGATTAAGTAAGTTAGCAATATTCTCAACAGTACATTCTTAGTGCTGACCTCTGTTTTTTCAAAGCTGTAGGAAGAAACCTTCCCCTTGAGCAGAGCCCAAACCACCCAGGATTCACAATGCTTCCCCATGTGTTGATTAAAAACAAGAATTCATAAAGCCAAAACAAAGGAAAGGTACTTTGGAATGAATGTTACTGTGGTTTTACTCTGTGTCTGTACTTAAATATTATCTGGTTTACTCAGCATAACAGGAGCCTCATAGATGCACATAGAAAATAATAAAATAGGATTCCAGCCCTGGTAGCACTTTTATTCTTGGAAACACATTATTATCCTATTGGCAGATAGAGCTAAGTAAATGTGGGAGGCCTGGGGAAAGGTAGCTGAGGGGATCACACAGAAGGGCTTTTGGTGGTGAAGCCAATAAAAGTTTTTCTTACTACAAATACTGTGAGATTGGGAGATAGAAGGAATCCATGCTGAACCATGGTTCTTTCCGTGGCAGAAATAAACTTTCCTTGAGGAGCAAGTTTCTTCGTATTTTTTTTGTCTTGATGTCTAACATTATGTAGTTGCAAAGTCTAACAGAAAGCTAAAGGGAGCGACGAGTGGGAAGGCTTATTCCAAGGACCAAAAGAGAGAGAGAAAAAAAAGCCACTACAATTTGTTGCCCTTGCTTGTCATTACAGTTGTAATTTTCAAATTGGCATTTGGTGATGGGCAGAGCTGCATGCTGCTGGTTACAACCCATGGCTTCCTGAACCCTGCCTCGGGAAACTGCTCTGCCCTGCTCCAGTCACACAATGAGCCCTTTTCAATTTAGATTCCACAAAGCCAAAGGAGTTCCCACAAGTCACTCCCAGAGGAGCACCTGTTAATCTAAAGAACACAACCATTAAGTGATTTATACTTTGTGCAATGAGTGCTTACTACAGAAACACATATTGGATCATTTCAGCTTATTTTCACGATTGCCCAGGAAACTCTAAGGGTCTGATTCTCACAGTCTCTACTTTAGAAATGAGAACCCAGGTACAGAGACTGAGAGAGAATTTCTAGTTCACAAAGTGTGTTATATGTTAAAATAACCTTTTCTCAACACCATATGTATGTTGAAAGCCATCTAAAGCTATTAAGTCTTGCCTCTTCCTAAGAGACAATATAGAGAGATAACTGTGACTAGGTTTATTTTGATAGAAAATGGAGAATCAAAGGGCAAGGTTGATCTTATCTACAGGACTGACTCCTGAATAACCAGGGTAGCTATATGGAACTAGCTGGCTCTTTGACTCAATAAAATCTTCCACAATATTATTAATGAGATAATATGTGAAAATATAGTATTTTGAAACTAAATAGTATTTTGAATCAAATGATTCAATAGCAGCTTTTTTTTACTTTCCAGTGTTGTCAGTCTTGGGCTCTGCATATGTACTTACCCCTCCCCCATTTTATCTCTATCTTTCCTTCCCTCTCTTCTCTTTGCTCCTGTCCTTTCATTGATGACCTGATAACATGTAACAAAGAAAGACTAAATCAATTTTCTTGTTTGCAATTTTTTTAAACCACAGATTGTCCTCCACCACTCAGTCTGCATCCACTTTGTCTCCTCAGAGGAATTTTACAACACTAATACTCAGAATTTGTCCTACACTCATTTGCTGTCTCTAACTTGGCAAACATAGGCTCTTCTGCTTCCTCCTCTCTTTCTTGTCTTTGAGCTCTGTGTTGTAAATACAGAGACCTGGTGTGCCTTCATTGGCTGGCCTGTGTCTTTTACATAATAAGTACTCATGGACCAGTAACCAAATGAAATAAGAAAAAAGTGGCTCAAGCATGTAATCTCAAAAATGAGATGGGAAGGATCACAGTTCCAAGCCAGTCCAGGACAAAAGATGGTCAGACACTATCTCAGAATGTGAACCGGATGTAGAGGTTTGGTTTATACTGTATTCTCACGCCCTGGGGGGAGGGGAGGTATAGGTCAGAGAATCACAGTCCAAGTGTAGTCCCTACAAAAAGAAAAGTGAAACCCTATTTGATAAATAATTTAAGAAGAAAAATGGGCGGTGGCAGGTCATGACTCAAGTGGTAGAGTACCTGCCTAACAAACACAGGTCCTGAGTTCAAACTCTAGTATTGGGGGGGAAAAAAAAACAAAAAAATAAATGAGCTGTGGGGTTTTCCTTTCAATATTAAGAAAAAAATGTGTTGAATTAATCTTCATTTCAAACTCTATTCAAACTCTATTTCAAACTCTATGAGGTTTCAACTGTTTTAACTATAGCTCTTTCTGGGTGATGTTGAAATGCAGAATAGAAAACTGCAATGCAAAAATATGCCATTTATTTTTAGGTACTCAAAAATCTTTTGACTTCTGAAACATTACTGGATTCCATGTCTTTGTCATGTGAGAGATGCAGTGAGCTAGAGGAAATACTTCTGTAGAGTCCTCTAAACACAGAATCTCACACATCATCATAAGAGTATCACCTACCCATGCTCTCAACAGCCTTGATGATTGGTCTGTTTTCAACAGTGAAGTGCTGAAGTAAACCATTCCCTGCACTGTTAAAATGATTAATGTCTTCTCTTTCTACTTCTTGAAGGAAATGGCGAAAATCCTTAATCACCCCAGAGTGTATGCCTTCCTGCACATCCCGGTCCAGTCTGCCTCTGACAGCGTGCTCATGGATATGAAGAGGGAGTACTGCGTGGCGGACTTCAAAAGAGTGGTGGATTTTCTGAAGGAGAAGTAAGTCGTCTGTTAGTACTTAAGAGAACAACCTTTCTTTTCTTTTAAAACTTGTGGCAACAATGCATTATGGCAGACTCACAATTAAAGGTACCAGGGGGAAGCAGGACTTTGGGAGCTTTCAAAGCCTTTCCATTTCCTTGGGGACCCTTGATGTGGTTTCTCCTTCCGCCTGCTTTAGATCCCGCTTCCCTCTGCGCCCATCACACCGTTCATTTGTGGAAGCTTGCCAGTCTTTCAGAGCTAACGTGAATTGTGATTATTTTTATACCTGACGCGCGAGAGGAACACTGCTTCAGCGTTGCTCAGCGTTAAGTCTCCTTTTATGTGGCTTTTTGAAGTTGTGAGTTGGTTTTGTCATGGAGGTAGAAGCCACACGATGTCACTGCGAAGTCGATAATTTTCTACCAACTGACACTTTTCAGAGTTTCTGGAATGTCTTTGCTTTTGCACACTAATCCCCGTATTTACTTGAATGCCTGTGATTTACAGAAAGGCCCGAGGATTGTACTTTTTAAAGTTCAAATCACTGTTGACCAAAATTAAGGCATATTTACACAATCACGGACATGAATGGTAATTTTGTTTCCACAGAAAACACTTGCAGCCCATAATTATGTTCTTCAAAATTCTACTTCTCATCATCACTAAACATGGAATGCCTTCTGTGATTAGCCAGGGCAGGAAGTGGAGGTGCCGGGCAAGGTCACACCCACCTTTCTCAAGTCCAAGTCTATGGCAGAGTCTACCTACCTGGGAATATATCATTTATCTTGGCATATTTGTGGCATGGTGCCTCCTACTTTCCATAATATTGTTGCTTCTGTTACGTTTCTTCATTCACATATAATTTCTTATTTTGATCTTCTTTTTTATAATAATATTCCTTTCTGTCATGTAAAAATACTACATAGATATGACTGCTTTATATAAATTGTAAGCAATTTCCACCTTTAATTTCCACCTTTAATTATTCGCTTACCCTGACCACACACAATTGTTTTGTAATCTGTTTCTTCTTTTTACATTTGCCTTCTCATCTTTCTTTAACATGTCTTTAAAACTTTTTCTACCTCTAGGCATTTCTTGATTACCCTAACCACCAAGAATAAAGACATGTTAGGGTATACCCATAGAAATACAGCTAATTATTCAGATATGTAAATCAGTGAATAGAAAGTAGATTTATTCTAAGTCTTCATAATTATACTCATTGAGTATATGCAGCTTTCAAAGTAGTCAACAGAGTAATAACACATCTCTACCATCTCTGATAGTCTTGGATCTTGAATAGAACTAACTGGCCAAGAATAAAAATGTGGATTTTTATGTTGAATGTTTGAATGTTATGTTACTGATTACCACTAGTCTGGACAACTGGTCCCACATTTATTTAAATTCAGTACTCCATCTTCATTTTTAAAGAGCCTAACACTGTCATGTTGTCCTGGCTTGTGCCCAACAGAAGGATTGTTTTTTGTTCACAAAACAACCCTGAGAATAAATGTTATAGTTGGTGCTTTCTCCTTTTTGCTTGTTTTATTTCGGGGGGGGGGCAGGAACAACAATTACCAGCAGCGTTTTTTAATTTTAATTTTGTGTGAATGTGTCTCTTCTTGTTTGCACCCCATTTCCTCTAAAGTCTTCATAACCTGTTCATATTGAACCTTTAACACAAAAGAGCCCCTCTTTTCCCTTGTCTGTTTTTGGCTCCCCCAGCCATGTGAGGCTTCTGGAAGCACAATGTTGTGATTGAGAGATCAAACATTTCCGAATCTGTTTCCTCAAAAAGCCAATATTTATAAGAACTTAACAACATTTAAGACTGAGATCCGAGCTATAGGTGGGTACCTGGAGCTGTGGGCTTTTATTACAAATTCAGTAGTGTTTGTGGAACTGTTTCTCAAACAGTGGGGTTGAAATCTTTTCAATTAATTTTCTTTACAGTTGAGAATGGTCCCTGTTTTCTCTGGTAGCAATGGAGTTTACATGTGAGCCAACTTGAAGCTGATTCATTATTCTCTTCAGTTGTTTGGAAGTTGGCAGCGCTTTCCCTAAAAGCAGCTGGATTGGAGATAACCTAGTAATGTTGGCACATGTTGAGCCATATGGGAATTTATTAAATCATGCAACCTTTGCAGAAAAGAGTGTCTGAATTACTGAGTATACTAATTTAAAACATCTGATTATGAGCAGACCATCATGTGACTTAAATTATTCTATTCAGATTTATTAATCCAGTTGAACACTTAGGAATTTGATGTTTTTATTTCAATGAATAAGATGATTTCTAGAAGTACATAATGAGATTTGTAGGAACATGGAAGGAAGCTAAGTAGAACAAAGCAAGATGTGTGGTTCTGATTTTAGACAAAAACCTAGTTTTTTGTTTTTTTAGTAGATACCTCATACATCTTTACTTCCTATATCAATTGTCACATTACTGATTCCACTGGTTTTTAATATATTTATTTCTGGGATTTTCAAAGGCATACAATTTGAATGCTCAGTCCCCAATTTTAAGGAATTTTCTACCTCATTATGGCTTTTTTTGTATGATAAGTTTTTTATTTATATATGTTTTTATTGTAAAGATACTGTACAGAGGGGTTACAGTTTGCATGAACAAGGTAATGAGTCCATTTCCTATTGAGCAGTGTTACCTCCTTTGTTTTTCCCCTACCATTCCTTTCCCTCCCACCTCCCCAGCTCCCCCCACCCCGCCACAAAGTTGTGAAGTACTTTTTCAACATAGTGTCTTGTACATCTCATTGTTACAATGGGTCATCCTGTATCCTTCTTTCAGCATTTTGTTATTTCCCTTCCCCTCCCCAAATTAGAAAAATATAAATACAAGATGCAGGGCACTGGAATCAAATACAGTGTAAACAGGGGTTATAGCATGGGGGAATAACATACAAAAGAAACAAAAAAATCACATAGTACATTGTAAATACATTAAAAACAACAGCAAGAAAGATAAAACCTCTTGTGTCCCTATCTTGGGGTTCATTTCGCTTAGCATCATCTTATATGGTCATATGGACATAGATTTTGACCTTTTCTACTTGTCCTAGACATACACTAGTTATTGCAGATAAGGAAACCATGGGACCTATGTTTCTTTGGGCCTGGCTTACTTCACTTAATATAATTTGTTTCAAGTCTTTCCATTTCCTAACAAATGGGGTGGTGTCACTCTTTCTGATGGAGGCATAGAATTCCATTGTGTGTATATACCACATTTTCCTGATCCATTCATCTACTGAGGGGCATCTGGGTTGGTTCCATATCTTAGCTATGGTGAAGGATAATTAGGCTTCTCACCTTGTGTCCCTGTACATGGATGCTGTGTACTCCCCCTTTTGAGTAGCACTGATTTTATGTGTTCATTCCCAGCCTGTATTAGTCATACATAAACATACTTTCACATATATCAATATGTAAGTCCTTCCATGTATATGTTTCACTGCTAAGTAAAAGAATCTGAGTCCTCAAATTCACACATTAAAGTGTGAAAGAAATACGTACAAATGCCCTAATGATAGATATATTTTAAGAAATGAAAATATGGTTCTGTATTGAAAGACCTATTTGTTTAAATGTATTATCTTTATGTAAGTCCACCAGCTTTTGGTTTATGATGATTCAGAGCATAGTTAGTCAACACCTTCCCTCCAAGCCAGTATATTTTGAATGAGTTAAAAGATGGTCTTGTTTTTACCTGCAAGTTACATCTTTCTATTGATGTGTAATATCATGATATTATCTTATTTCCAAACTTGCCATTTAAAATCCAGCTGTAGTGGTGAGTGCCTATAGCCCTCGCTATTTAGGAAACTAAGGCAAGAGGATCTCTTGGATCCATGAATTTGAGACAAGCTTGGGGAACAGAGGAAGACCCTACTGTATCACAAAGCAAAACAAAATAACAATAAAAATGATTTTAAAAATTTGCTGGCACTACTTATCAATGTTCTGTGTTCTTCTGAGTCATTTATAGAATGTTAATCCTCTAAACACTGTAATTTTACCATATCTAGTTGTGCCCAGTAAAATGTCACTACTTGTAGCATAATTAATGAGGATACAGAGTAGAAGGTAAAAGGCTGGGAGGAGGAATTGGAGGACAATTGGTAGAGGGGAGTGTCAGCCTTGCAGAGAAAGTTTCATACTCTGATCTCTCCCTACATGCTCATTCAGCCAAGGAGCACCAGGGCATGATACTGGGCTTGCTTAGGCAGGATGATTTGTGTAAGTCCTGGAGTTAACTCCTATAGTCCAGCTCACTTTAATGACCTACCTGTCCAATCTCTGCAAAACACAATGTTTTTACATTACCATCCTAAGCTAGGGTTCTTATCATTACTCTTCTTACTGGAACATAACCTGAGAAAAGACAAGTTATGTTTCATTTGTATTTTATTCAGCCTATCCAGCTAGTTTTATTCCTAATAGCTTAAAAACATAAGTAGCAATGTTTGCCAGAATGTAAGAAAAGAACTTGCCTCAAAATAAAGAGGATTCAGCAAGGATCAGATAATTGAGTTCTGTTTCCCAAATGCTTTTCCTGATGTGTTGATATTCACTAAATAAAAGCACCTTTAAAATAAGCTAGGCAAAATAATCCCCTCAAAAATCTTTTCTGGCTTTCTCTAAAGATGTCTAATACCTTTAACTAGATTGTTATTTTAGATGTCTCTAAAGTCTTCTTTACATTTTATCTTAGTCAGATTTCTTTCTGAACCAATAAAATTCTCTTCCCTTCTTTCTATTGCTACTTATAGACTCAAGAGAATGAATAAATTTTATTGTCAGAGATATCTAGTAGAACAATAGCTACCTAGTCAAACAGTGCTTTTGTTGTTTTTTTAAGTGTACTATATTTATATTTAGACTTTGTAAAGGTTGGATATCGTGTGGTTAATCTCCCATACAACATTGGGTCAATGGGAAATTTGGATCAGTGGTTTAAAGATAAGTGTATTTTCAGCTGATTT